AATACTGAGACATACGGCGACCGGACACCTAGCTCCAAGGCGCAAACCAACAACTTTCCAACTTGGAAGGTTCAGGTTCGGAAAGGTCCAAGAGGAGAAGGAAAGCGCAACGAAGAAGAGCACGAGCTACGCCTCATTTTGCCGCATTCGCTGACTGTATAAGATCTGGTTACGTTGGTGGACAGTTAGTCATAACTCGTAACATTTTGTCCTTCTTCTTTTCACAATTATTTAATTGGCTCACCATCCGACAAAGAAGAAAGTTGCCAAAGTTGCGATTTCTTCCGAATAATCGAAAAGTTGCGAAAAATTGTTTCGAGCATCTTTGCGAAATGGCTAGTAAGGAGCGAAAGGTTCATTATCTCCTCCACTAAGCTATATGTGGTCCAATGTACTCACACGATCAACATGTACTTCATATGCATAGTGCTATCAGTATAATAGTTAGTTAAAACATATTGAGCACTCTCTTGGACAGCCTGGAACCTCTCTGTTTTTAATATTTACTTAGTGTGACTGTAGATGTAGCAGTGTCAAAATGGTAAAAAATCTAACACTACTATAGTCTATAGTCCATAGTGTATTTTATATTGTACAGGTAATAGGTTTCAAATATTTAAAATTTTGCTTTGACAGTTTGAGCGTTTTGAGATCTACATTTTGTATCTTGGGGATACTGGTCAGGCAGTACCTCCAATTTTCCTTACATAAATCTAGGTAATTGGACAACAAACGCCCATTTTTACACACATGGTAATCCATTATTTTTATGTAGTATAGATGTTGGTTGACACCAGGGGTCTACATGACATTATCTACCATTGAACACATTATACATGTAGTACGAATTTCCAGTCTGACAACCATCACTGAATGAGTGGTAAAATAACAACTTTAGCCATGGTAACTAGTAATACTACAGTGCTGCTCAATGACAGCCAGTCGGGTCACTCAAGACAAGTTTGCGCCTCGTACCATTTTCACAGCCAAGTGTTGGCAGGTGTAGGGCTGCGCAGCGTCTGGCGCGTACTTGAGGGATGCGACTGGAGTTCATTGAGCAGAACTGAACAATGAGAGACAGACTCACAGCACACCCGACCAAACCTGACACGCGACCTGGACTTAAATCTTTGCAGGTCTGGAGCGGAGCAGGGAGTTGTATAAACACGACTCCGCGGTCTGGACTCTGGACAGGGCAAGACAGGAGGAGCATGCATACAAGCGCAGAATCTCGCTACTTGTAGTCTGTGTGATAGATCCACTGTCACTGTGTGGTAGATGGTAGATGATTCACACATTCACGACCCTGGTCTGAGTAACCTTTCGCACACTGCTAGCGAGAGAAAGAAGTTCAGAAAAGAAAACATTACCTACTCGATAGTTTCAGTCACAAGCAAATTTGCTTGCGTTGCAACGAGATTCGGGCTAGCTCACTCGCTCCGAGTCTGCTAAGTGTCGGAGCAATGGCGATCAAACCCCCAGGCTCAATGCCCTGGCGCAAATCACCTTTTCAACGAAAAGGATATCCTCCGGAGATTTTCCAGGACGAGAACTTTCGCGAGAAGAAGTACCTTTGCTCACATTGTCACCAGGTGCTTGACCAGCCGCGTAGTGGTCCGTGTGGTCACCGCTACTGTCGACTTTGCCTCGAAGACCGCATAGATCGGTAAGTAGTGACTGCTAGCGTTTCTCCTATTTCGAGTGTTTCCAGGCTTGAACCTCTCCCATTGTGGCAAGGCTATCGTGTGATTATCCGCTCCTGCATGTATTGTGTTGTGTAATAGTCTATACTATAATATAATGTGATTCCTGTGTGAGCAGAGCTAAACCTTGTGTACTATTTGTATCGTGATGTGGATCAGGTTGGCGATTATCGTTTTCCGCGATTAGGGTTCATTCAAACTACAATGAAAGTTGAATTTGGGAGAATGAAATTGAGGCCACCACTGCAGCTGTACTTATGGTTGATAAATATGGTGGTAAAGACACACCTGGCAATATGGCGGTAAACACACGCCTGCCCACACACGCTCTCTAGGCTGCAAAGTTCTGGGACAGAGCTCTCCTTCTCACCACCACCACCATCAGTTCGCGCCTGGCGCCTGGTCGATGCATGGCTGGCGGTATCCGGCATAGCAGGCTGGTACATCAAGTAGCGCATGGCACATAGATGATGACACAGCAACGACATAGCTCGATTGCGACGTACGTTTCGTCCCCGCTGGACTCATCAGGTAATCTTCTTCTTGGATGTCTTCATACGGAGCTTGACTCGGGAGAATGAAATTGAAGACTCCACTGCAGCTGTACTTATGGTTGATAAATATGGTGGTAAAGACACACCTGGCAATATGGCGGTAAACACACGCCTGCCCACACACGCTCCCTAGGCTGCAAAGTTCTGGCACAGATCTCTCCTTCTCACCACCACCACCATCAGTTCGCGCCTGGCGCCTGGTTGATGCATGGCTGGCGGTATCCGGCATAGCAGGCTGGTACATCAAGTAGCGCATGGCACATAGATGATGACACAGCAACGACATAGCTCGATTGCGACGCCCGTTTCGTCCCCGCTGGACTCATCTGGCAATCTTCTTCTTGTTGAATTTTCAGTTGAATTTTCCATTTTTAGTGCAGCGAACAAGGAAATGGAAACTCATTCGCACAGCCGAAGTTGATTTGTGAACGCATCAATTTTCAATCACTTCACTTTCCTGGCAAATATTATGTTCTGTACCTACAACATAGTTATACCATGTTACCACTAGTCAAACTTTTCGGACAAAATTGAATCGTACATCTACGAAATTTCGTCAAGACCAGCTCGACAATCGCCTGGTGTGTCGTTCGCTTTTTCGGCGATGTATCCACTGGTCGTTATTTTGGCCAGAACGTCGGCCGATTTTTAATGCTGGCATGTGGTGGAGCGGACCTCCAATCGATCACAGACGATATTCCACAATGGCAGAAGAGAGTGTGGGTGCAGATCGTAAACTGGCTGCACTGGATCACTACTAGACGCTAGCAGCTAGCATTTTCACACGTTTGTCTATGCAGCTGGTGAAAAAACGATCTCACTTGCGCTCAGGTAGTGCTACATACCATGGGCGTAGGAACAGGTCCGGCAGGCCCGTCGGTCGCCGGACCAATAATTTTCGATTTTTAAAATTTTTTTTTACATTTCGACCTTGTTGATGGCTTGTCGACTCTTGTACAGGTACAATGTTTTACATCGACAATGCGGTGTATCATCAGCATGCATATTCTTATTTCTCATATTATTCTGTAGTATTAAATATGGCCTTTTAGGCCCAATTTTCAAAAAAAAACACCAGGGGAGGACTCCCGGACCCCCTCTCACAATTTCGCCGCACCAATATTAAACTGCTTCCTATGCCCCTGCATACACTAGACCATAGTAGACATCATGGTGTAGATACCATAGTGTTTACTACAGTGTAGTGTTGCTCTGTACCACGATTGCGTTTGTGCACACACAGGCATGCATGTACAAAGGAAATCAGTGGCGTTTTATTGCGAAGAATATTCTCTATTTTCTGGCTTTGAAAACTGCGAATGTTTGCCTCGCCCACACGCGTCGGATTTTTCGGCCAATATTTGATTGTACGACTAATTTTCTGGATTAGCAAATTTAAAAAAAACTGCAAAATGTGGACGGTTTGGTCACACGCATTTCCGATACATTTGTGTGTGTATAGGCAGTCCAACCCAGTCAGCCGATTTTGTGACGGGGTCGGTTTCAGAACGCCTGCCAAAAATACGGCCGATTGCGGGCCAGGCATAACTGACTTTTGGTTGTGTAAACTTAGCAGTACTTTGCAAACTACCAATTTATAATTGTTCCTTCTGGTCAATGAAATCCCATTGAGAGATTAAAGTACACAACGGGGTGGGGTGGGAGCCAAGGGGGGGGGGGGTGTAGGGGGGGGGGGGGGTGGGGTGAGTAGGGTTGTGGGTAGAGTTGTGTGTGGGGCTGCGGGGGGGGGGGGGGGGGTTGTACGTGGACTTGTGGAGGGGGGGGGGGGGGTTGTGGGTGGGGGTTGTGTATAGAGTATACATGTCTATAGCAGTGAGTACAGAGGTGGAGTGTGTTAACTTGATCCAGTGGATTGCATTGCAAGGAACAACACAGCACTACTCTGTACATGACAAAACGAGTGATTTTCATACAAATACCGAGAAATATGGAATATTGACACAGAACCGGGCTTTGTGTTGTGAACAATAAACTCCACTCACTGCATGGCTAAGTTCAACTCCCTGGCTGTTTGTTGTAAATACTCCTAGCAGTCAACTGCAACACCAATACTTTTATAAGGCTGAGCATGGCCAGATATACACATACACACATACCCATACCCATACACACACACACACACACACACACACACACCCACACACACACACACACACACACACACACACACACACACACACACACAAACACACACACAAACACACACACTCATACATACACCATGTACACTTGCACACACATACACACTTCTACATAGAATGCCATGATGCATATAGTACCATGTGAGCATGCACCAAGGCGTGTGACCGACATGGATACCGTGATGTACAGCGCACGTGACTGTAGCCAGCAGCAAAGCATGAGCATGCAGTAAAGCGCCAGCAATCATAGCAGCATAGCTTGAGTGGTAGCACGAAGCAGCCGCGTGCACCCATTAATCTGCATTATTACTATAATGCTACACACACACACACACACACACACACACACACACACACACACACACACACACACACACACACACACACACACACACACACACACACACACACACACACACACACACACGTACACAACCATTAATAAATACAAAGAGTTACATCCACACACCTAAACAACTAGTGTATGATGAAATTTCTAATTCTATTTTTGTTGTTTCAGGATGAGACCCACTGCTGAATGCTACTGGAAGGATTGCCAGGCAGTTCTGAAACCAGCAAAGGTATGTTTATACAGGTCATGTGCGGTTCTGGGCTTAAGCTGTGTTCACAACTGCATGGCGGGTGGACGCGGTACGCTTGCGGTTTATGCGTGCCCAAATGCCCACTCAGGCTTTCACAATAAACAGCAATCTGAGTCTTATTTAAAGAGTGCGACACCTTCAAGTACTACCGTATTTCCGCACATATAAAGTCATGGCGTTCTAGGTGAAACATCGCTGTTTTGGACCAAATGTTTGGAGAAAATAGCCTCGGTTTTAACGCCATGGAGCTAAAAGTGAGAGATGCTTACATGAAAAAATCGGCAGAGTATGAAGTTCGAGTACTCGTATGGTGCCGTTGCACGTTCATGTCGAGCATCCATATACTTTCAATTTTCCCTGAAAATTTCAAATTGTGAACCTATTGTGTACAAGGTGGCATACAAACTTGTGTGAAAATGCGGTGGCGGTATGGCATGTGACAGTGGGGATGGGTACATGTAGAGAGAATCACCGCAACTCTAGGTTCACTGAAAGAATTGAACTCACCTTTAACGCCGGATGCAACTTCTTCCACATTGAATTTTGTTCACTTATAACGCCATGGCTTTATAAGTGAGGGTGGCCATATATTCGGATATAACGACATGGCTTTATATGCGCGGATATACGGTAATGTTTCGACCCCACCAGTCAAAGGGACTGGCATGCATGCCTGTACGCGCCTGATACGGGCTGAAAAATAAAACAATCATGTTGGAATTTCCTTTTCAGCACGTTTTTACACACATGATGCCCCAAAAGCCAGCAAAAATACGCACAAACACATGGTTTCACGCGTACACGCGCCAGCTGGGAACACAACTTACGTCATGAATAGGTCAAGGTCTTACAGTAACGGATCTATCTGTCTGGTCTGGAGGTCTAGATCTTATCGTAATGTATCTGTCTGGTCTGGAGGTCTAGATCTTGCAGTAATGTATCTGTCTGGTCTGGAGATCTAGATCTTAGAGTAATGTATCTGTCTGGTCTGGAGGTCTAGATCTTAGAGTAATGTATCTGTCTGGTCTGGAGGTCTAGATCTTGTAGTAATGTATCTGTCTGGTCTGGAGATCTAGATCTTGTAGTAATGTATCTGTCTGGTCTGGAGGTCTAGATCTTTTAGTATTGTATCTGCCTGGCCTGGAGGTCTAGATCTTGCTGTTATGTATCTGTCTGGTATGGAGGTCTAGATCTTGAAGTAATGTATTTGTCTGGTCTGGAGGTCTAGATCTTGCTGTAATGTAGCTGTCTGGTCTGGAGGTTTAGATCTTGCTCTAATGTATCTGTCTGGTAGGGAGGTCAAGATCTTGAAGTAATATATCTGGCTGGTCTGGAGGTCTAGATCTTGCTATAATATATCTAGCTGGTCTAGAGGTCTAGATCCTGAAGTAATGTATCTGTCTGGTATAGAGGTCTAGATCTTGTAGTAATGTATCTGTCTGGTCTAGAGGTCTAGATCTTGCAGCAATGTATCAAGTAATTCAGACATCACTGTTGCATGCTGGAGAGCGGAAGCAGTTTTTGGAGCTCCGTAGTTTTTTTGGCATAATAGTCCGCTCCCAGCCCGTATGGCTGTGGATGCACAGGTAGTACACTAGATCACTTAGAGTGCTGATTCACTACAACCGCCAGGTGCCATGGCCGGAAACGGAGCTGATACGGAGCTCTGACGACAGTTCTCGTCTTCGACACTGAAGAAGAACACTGTTGTATTCCCCTCGCAAGCCCAGGTAAACGTGGGGGCCTGCATAAAGCTCCTAGAAGAGCAAGGTATCACCGGCATCATTTCGATGCAGACAACAAGCAGGGGTCAATGTAGACTTACCGTTGAGTCATATGAAAAAGCAAAATTGTTGGTGCTCAATGGCTTCGATTGCAAGGGCGAACGGGTTTTACAACGCTTCGTTTCCGCACCAACAACACAGTTACACATCCATGATGCTCCAATCTGGATCTCAGACGGTGTCCTAAAAGCTGCGCTCTCACCGTACGGAAAGCTTATCGGTGAGATACGACACGGCAAAATCAAACTTTCAAACGGCACCCAAAGAGCAACTGGTGTGCGATTCGCCTCGTTCGAACTGAAACCAGGCAGTTCGATCCCGTCGTACCTGCGTACGACAGGAGGCTCCCACGAGCTCCGCATCATCTACGACGGCCAGGCACGTGCAGGCTATGTGGCCAGATAGGTCACATCGCGCGTACCTGCCAAAACCGTCGCAGTGCACACACCTCCACGCATGCCGGCAGAGAAGGCAGCAGCACTGGCAGCACAGAGCGGAACAGCGGAGTTGAAGCTGACTCTCATGCTCACCGTACCGATTCTGCACCAAAAGCGGCCCAGAGTTCGACCCACACCAGCGCAGTATCCAAAACGGCCTCCGACGGTGCCAACAGCACGCCGAAAGCAGACCTGCTCCCCAGCTCGCACCCAAACGACCCAGTCCACGACCAGTACGACATTACATCGCCCACGTCGGCAACAAGCACGACCGTGCACCCCGGAACGCCGCCAAGCAGCACAGGTACAGCTACAGGTACGACAACATCCAACTCACCGCACACCGACACAACTACTCCTACCACCACAACATGCAATCACCCAGATTCGGCGCGTGCTGAAGACCTCCTCTCCTCACTGGTGACTAACACAGACACGTCTAAACAGCCAGTAAACCCCTCGATTACCTCCGAACGACGCAGGAGAACCAGTCCCAGTTCGGAATCCTCCCCTGATTTCAAAAATTCCAAAAAACAAAAAGAGAGCAACAACATCGACCCTGGCCACTGCCAGCCCCTTGCCCCAGCACAGGGCTCTCGCTTCAGCCCACTGGTGTCACAGGATACTCAATCCTAGCCTACAGTGACGTTGTTCTCCACACCTTTTACGTATTTCATTATTACTTCCTCCTGCAATGAAGGGTAGCAAGCATCTTCGCATTCTCTGCACGAACGCTTTTGGCCCAGCCAGCAAACTTCCCGACCTACAGCACGCACTCCTGCAGCATCAGCCCGACGTCGCAATTGTGACAGAAACGAAGTTCACTGCGGAGAAAGTGCTTCCCTCTGACATTAGTTTCCCTGGATACAGCTCACTATTTCGGTTCGATAGAACGGCACATGGGGGAGGGGTAGCCATCTGGGTGAAGTCGTCACTCCCCTCCATGCTCATCCCTGAACTCATGTCCCCCGCACATGAGATCATCTGGGTCTCTCTCCAGCTGGGCCCAGGTCTCCGCACCGTCTTGGGAGCAGTGTATCGGCCGGGGTCCTGTGCCCCTAGCGATCTCACCCTAATTGATCATCTCGACACCATCCTCCCAGAAGCTAGACACCAGGGCCCCACATTATCCTAGCTGGCGATTTCAACGTGCACAACCGGGCTTGGTTGAACAGCTCGAAAACTACGCCTGCAGGCGAGGCTCTCGAAGATACCTGCGCTGCCCATCTTCTTTTTCAGCACGTCACAGTACCGACCCGTGGAGACAACCCGCTAGACCTCATAATTTCAACGTTCACATCCCCAGTAACTACACGTATACTTCCGCCCCTCGGTCGATCTGATCATGCAGTTGTACTGTCAGACTTTTTTTCTGTGCTCTCTAGACGTGAACCGCCTGTTAAGCGAACAGTATTTCGCTACAACAGAGCAGACTGGGATCGCCTCAGGGTGCACCTTCGCAACTTGGAATGGGGTAATATCATCACGGACGACCCAGAAACTTCGTGTGAGCAGGTTACCGCTTCGATAACTGCAGCTGTTGCACAGTTTGTCCCATCCAAAGTTCTGGAAACGAGGCCTTCCGATCCGGTATGGTGGACGTCTGAATGCACCCAGACCGAGAGGGAGAAGGAGAAGCACTGGCACGATTGGAGAAAACACCCTTATGACCCAGCACTTCAGCAGGCATTCACCAATTCCATGACTGTAGCGATCGCCACCCAGTTCCGATCACGACGTGCAAAGGAGGACAGCCTCCGTCGCAGCCTTTCAACTGGGTCCCTCAGAGACAAACAGTGGTGGACGAAGTTGAAGAGCGCTGCAGGCAACTGCACACATCCCGAAATTCCCCTAATTGTCGACTCTGACGACCGCGAGTGGGCAACGAGCTCAGAGAAAGCAGAGGCATTCGCTCGCTTATTCTCTAAGAAATGCAGCGTTGCCGGTCTGGACCTTGTAGAGGCTGACCTACCGGACCCTGCTCCCTCAGATGCTCCACCTCTTCGCACCATCCGCTTCCGCCCAGAGGCTGTGCGCCGCCTTCTGGCAAAGCTCGACGTCTCCAAGGCTACAGGGCCTGACAGTATTTCTGCTCGCGTCCTTAAGGAATGTGCCCACGAGCTCGCAGAGCCACTGTCCAAGCTATTTGCTTTATGCTTCCGGTCTGGAAACCAACCTAGGATGTGGAAGACGGCCAACGTGGTTCCGATCCACAAGCGATCTTCCCGCTCAACCCATAAAAACTATAGGCACGTATCCTTACTGTGCATAATCTCGAAACTCATGGAAACTCTAGTAAACAGACACATCGTAAACAATTTTGAGGACCACCATCTGCTCACGTCGCACCAGTTTGGATTTCGCAGAGGCTTCGGCACATCAGACGCTTTGCAAGCTCACCAAACTGCCTGGGCAAGTGCTGTGGGCTGCCGAGGGGCGGCTCGTATCCTTGCTGTGGACATCGCAGGAGCGTTTGACCGTGTCTCTCATGTCGGCCTCCTCCACAAGGTGCGCAGCCTAGGCATCAATGGTCCGCTCCAGAGACGGCTTGCGTCGTACCTGGACACCCGTTCATTACAGTGCCTTGTTGGAGGGCGTACGCCAGCTTCGTATACGACCTCCGCTGGAGTCCCCCAGGGAAGCATTCTTGGTCCAACGCTTTTCCTGGCGTACATCAACGACACGCCAGACGTTCTCGCTGACGGCGCCAGCTTGGAGGCCTATGCTGATGACACAACCTTATACAGCTTAGTCACCT